TGCATTTCACATTCAAGACTCCATCACATCTGAAAATGAAATAGTGAAATATGTGTGTATGGTGACTGAAATTTCATTCTTTGCTTTTCAATTCTGATGAAACCTTAAATGGAGAAATGCATTGTCAAATCTATTTTCAATAAAATCTATTTCATATTTTTATCTTTTTTTGTTTTTATGCCAAAACAAAAAATGATTGGGATATATTTATTTATGTGCATGTGTATATAAAGAGAGGGATGGATTAGTTCCTGTTAGCTGTATTAAGCTAACTTTTGATGATGGTCGTAACACCAATGATGCAATTATTTATTTTTCAGTTACCCTTTAATGAAACCGACGAAAATGGATAGAGATGTTCACAACTGAGACTTGTATTATTTTTGTCAGTTTCATGGGGCTTTGTAAATCTGAAAATGTTCACCAAGGAGTAAAATAAAAAAAATGACATAATGTACATATGAAATTGAATCATTGAGTTGTTTTTTTTTTTTTTTTATTATCTAATTTCTTTTGTTAAATTTGTGTTGTAAGACTTTATAAGTCTTTTCTTACATTCAAAAACTTAGAATTTTGAGCTGGTATAATTTTTCACATTCTCTTGTTTGATGTTCTTATCTTTTTCTGATATAGTTTTATTTTTTTACTCACTTTTTTATATTAAAATATTTCTCTTTTTAAACAGCTTACTTAACCATGTATTAAAACTGATTTATAATGCTAAACCTTTTTTTTTTTTTTCTTCATTAATGTAATGTGAATTTATGTGGGATAAGGTCAAACTGCCCTTTTTTTTCTTGTGCCTGTTGGCCAGCAGCATATTTATGCACCCAAGACAGGCAAGCAGGCAGTCAATAATTGACTTGTCTGTGCTGGAAAGAAATAGTACAATTCAATGTTAGCAATTGGCACCATAACCATCAGAGACGATGCATTGCAGCTGCTTATCTTGTTGCCTTTGTCTAGAATTTTTTTTTTCTGTAACCTGTTCTCAGTATAAAAAGTAATAATAAAAAAAAAACATTGGATAAACAGCCCTTCTTTGGATGAAAAATCTAGCAGAGCTCAGTAACCGATAGATAATCAATTTTCTTTTCCTGTTTGTTTGCCTCCTGTCGAGAGAATTAGGGTATGAGCCGCATCTACTTACCTGGCATTCTTCGTATTTACCTTACATTTTCCACAACACACCTTCTCACTTCTTGGATGTTTTACACCTCTCTCTCTTTCCTTTCTGGAGCTTAATAAGTAAAAAGAAAAGTAAAATTCTCTTCACATAAAAAAAGAAAGAAAGAAAGAACTGAATGTCTTGTAATATGAATGGTACATAGACTGAATCTCAGCCAAAAAACTAAAGATACTGAACAAAAAAAAAATGTAATATGACTTGAGTAATATGTCCTAAGTGAGTAGCAAGTCTGTATTATAATTTTTTTGCTGATAACCTTTATCAGCTGAGCTGCATTCATTTTTTCTTCTTATTTAACTTATATATAAAAATAACAGCATTATAAATATATACATATGCAATTATGTGTGTATTTATTATACTGTTCTGACTTCAAAATGTTTTAAAGAATATTTTTTCTTAATCATTTTGTCCCAAGCAAGACAATGCCACTAAGAGACAAGGAGTTTGTGAGAGTGAAAGAAAATGAGAAGTGGTTAATGAGGAGATAGGACAATAAAAGAACAAGGAAGACAGAAGATGATGATAGATGTTGCATTTAAATTTTTGAAGATTGTAGGTGACAGGGTAGCAAGAAAACAGAAGAGAGTTCCACAGACAAACAAGAAAAGAAGCTATTAGAATAGAACTTATGGTTACATCTATTTCAACAGTAAAACGGTGAGACCTAGATGTCACTATAGTAGTACACTGAAATTTATGCAGTCAAGGTACCAAAGAGGAGAATTCATGAGAATTGTTCTCATTAACTCTTCTCTTTGGTATCTTACCCTGAAAATATTTATAGAAAAGACACAGGTCAATTGTTATAGTGGTGGGAAAGTGACTGAAGTCAAGATGCCAGGTCAGGATCAGTTACATTATAGATCCTTCCAGAATCTTGAGATATATAGATGGGGCATGAGACCATATCTGGTCTTGTGTGTGTAATATATATATATATATATATATATATATATATATATATATATATATATATATATATATATATAATATAATTTTGCAACCAAACCCAATCATGGGAAAGGCTTCAGGAGTAAACCCTGAGGACAAATCCAGAGCTGGAGTCTCTAAGATAATCCACAGAAATTCAAATTTCAAGTTGGTGTTTGGCATGAGATAATTTGGTTTATGGTTTGAAAGAAGTCTTTAGCTTTGGATGGCAGTCTTTCTAGAGATGGTGTCTTGACAAAAACACCCAGATGTAGGGTTGGCATCCCACATTTGTATTAGTTAGCAAAAGAACTATCAACCGAGCAGACAGGGAAATTGTCTCATCCTTACTCTTATGGCATCCTTCCGGAAATGTCTTATGAAAATTGACTTTCCAAGACACCATAGCTTGGGACTCAGGGTTGAACATTGGGGATCTGAGGACCACAATGAAAGACCAAACAGTGTGGAAAGGGATTGTCAATGGAGTTCTGACCAATCATAGGGAGGTTGAAGGATAATGATATGGCAACAGTCTGGCAGTATAAAAGACATTACCTTATTCAGAAAGACGTTCAGATGGTTGAAGTTAGAATTGGACATTAAAAAAATTAGGTTATCCTTTACCGATACTATATTTCAAAAATGCATTTTTTCCTCCTTAAGGATGTTTTATAAAATGACACAAACATGTGATAAGGAGCTTCATTAGTTTAGTAAAATGGATGGAACAATATGTAGATTTTAATACAATGTACTTAATGAAGACTGAATAATAATTGAGACATTAAAAGAAAAGTATATTTCTCCTCGTTCAATCTCGTGTGTTTTAAGCCTTGTTAAGATTATCCTTTAAAATTGAGAAAACTATTTTGGTCTGAATGTTTATATTTTGTATGTTGAAACAATTCCTTATACATATTTGTGTATTTATAATTTTTCATATCTTTATTATTACTTGGGTGTTGATGTCTTTAACTCGAGTAGATATTTTGTCTTGTCATTATTCAACTGGACCTTTTCTACAAATATCACTTAGTTCAGATGTTATTGTGTGGAAGTTGTTTTTAAAAACAAACAAAAAAAAAAAAAAACATAAAAAGACCTCAAATATAGATTTTGATTACAGCCCAAGCTAGGGAATTTGGAGGTAACCTACAAAGTCTTCTTTTTTTTCTTTAATGAAAAACTTTAGAAATTGTTGCTGCTGCTGTAGTGAAATTGATAGCAACTTCAAGTTACTGACTCCATTTTGAACTCTAATTCTTTTTTGGTGGGGATCTTTGTTAGTTTCAATTGATTATTTTTTCACTTTTCCAATTTCATTTTATTTATTTATTTTTTATGTGCAGACTCTTTTTGACCTTGTCAACTAAGTAACTTTATGCTCTACAAAATAACTCCAAAACAGAGCCACTACTAGAATTGCTCCACAAAATATCTTTCTTCTTTTTTTCTCTCTCTCTCTCTCTCTCTCAATTGAGGTAAACTTAAGGCATTTCAGCTTTGTTGAATTTATTCTCAGTGCCTTAAAGAAGTAATCTTATGAAAGTAGGAAAAATAACTGCCCTATTGTTCTTATCTCTCTAATATAAACACTTCTGATCTTTGTAGTGGCTGAACCTCAACCTGAAGCAAGTTTGATTTGAGGTAATAAATAGTAGTTATGGTTCATTAATAACAAATCACTCACAATATTTGGATATTGACTTCAAATGTCAAATCAAGTGGAGAGAGAGAGAGAGTTCATTTTAGCATAACATACATATAACAGTCAATGTTAGTAAAATTATGAAAATTATTTTTATTAATTCAAGAATTGAGAGTTATTGTTGCCATTTAGATTTTCTCAGAACTATCAGTTTAGGAAAAATACATTTACTGTATTCTATTTCTTTCTACCAGAACAGATAAATGACTAATAATTTTTCTTTAAAAGTTTTATATAATTAAAGAAATTCAGCTTTGTTAAAACATCTTTTATGATAAGAGAAATAAAATTGTAATTGTCTTAAGAGTAAACTTACATGATTATTTAATATCAGAATGGATTTAATGGAAGTTTATAGCTATTGCTTCTAACCTTCTTTTTACCTAAATATGATAATGAAAATATTTACTAGTTCCTTATTAGAAAACATGCAGCATTGCTATTGTTTTAAGTTTATAAAATCTTTCTATTAAAACAATGTTTCAGAAAAATAAGTTTCTCAAGTTCATTGTTATTTCCCTTTTAAGTATGGATGGGGGCTTCCTTCTTAACTTTCTGTTTAAAGCAAGTGTCAATATCTTGATTTTGTCCTTATTTTCTCCTTGAGTTATATGTGATATCCATTTTAGCTGTTGTTGAAAATTCTCAATTGATGTGGTTTCTGTTATTTACTACTGTTGTTTGTTTAAATGTAATTCACTTGAAACACAGTCTAAACTGCTTTTTAAGATCCTTCTTAGATAATATTAATCACTTAGGTAAAACATTCAAGATTGCTGTTCCTTATGTAACGATTCTTACACAATGAAGATGATTGCTTGTTGGCTTTTATTGATACTCATTGTACCTTAATGTTCATAAGGGAAATAAATTTTCTTGTTGACTTTTGCTATAAAATTCCCATCAGAAGTTTGAATGATGTAGTAAATTAAAGCAATATGATATGGTGTGTGTTTCTTTTTTTTTTTTTTTTTTTTTTTTTTTTTTAGTAAAGAAATAATATAAATTTTAAGCATTAAATTAAATTCAATTTGCCTCTCTATATGCATGCCATGAAACACTATTCTGAAACTCTTATCATTGATCCTTATCTTATCTCCATGCAAGAAAGTTTGTTCTATGACAGTGGTTTCTACTTAGTTGAATGGTTCTCTTTCTCTTTTACAGTGACCGGTACACACGATACCTACAATGGAAGAATCTAGAACTGAATATTAATGTAAGTATGAAGATTAAAAATTCACATTTACTGTATATGTGGTTGTGCAGAATCTACTTACCTTTTGTCCAACAGAGTTAAGAAAAACAAAAGTCAAGCTCTACAAATGCATCATTAAAAACTTAACTCATTCATTCACAGTTTTTTTTTTTTTTTTTTTTTTTTTTTTTTTTTTCAAGAAATCTCTGCAAAATATTTATTTCTCTGTTTCTTCATCAGTTCCATCTGATTTAGTGCCACACATGCAGAAATTTGGTTGCTCCCTTTGTCTTTAATTGTAAAATGTTTTGATGAAGAAAAGATTTTTCTTTTTTCTACAAAATTAACTAAATTTGCCTTGGCAAAGCCATCAAAAATGCTAATTTATGATAATAGCAATATTAACCATTACCTTATAAGGAAACCTTCATTGGCTGAGCAGCCAGGTCTGTTGTCGGTAGAAATTTATAAAATCTATTAAAACAGTTTTTCTGGAATATAGATTTCTTGAGTCCACTGTTTTCACTTTTTCGAGTATTGATAGTTTTCTTTCCTAACCTTTTGTTTGAAGTCAGGTGAGGTGTCGGCATCTTGATTATGTCATTATTTTCTCTAGTAATAGTAATTTATAAAATGATACAAATCCAATTTTACTTGGTGATAACTTTTATTTCTATAATTTTTATTCAATCAATTTTATTTGTTGTTCAAAATTACCTGAAGTGAAAGAAGCTTCATGTCCAAACTAATAAATTTTTTGAAAGTTTGTCTTGCTCATTGACTTGGAATTCTTTATTTGAATATGGGCAAGTCTTTACCTTATTATCAAATCCACTGCTTCATCAAAATGAAAATGGATGAACATTGTATGTCACTGCAATGCTAAATTACCTTTGGCCTATAAAAATGGAGACACAGTGGCTCGGATTGAGTAATTGGAGAGACAAATTCAAATTCCAGTCGAGTTCATTACATTCACTTGTTACCCTTGGGTAAAGGTATGAATCCATCTCTTCTAAGCTATGGGTAAATAGAAGAAACTGGGTTCTATAGCTTTGGGTGGCAACAGGTCTAGGGAAAGGAAAAGTCTGAATTTAAACCAGCCTGGAAAATCCGGAAGGAGGAACCCAAACGCAGTTAATAACTCTGTAACTCCTCTTCCATTGCAACCATACCAATCCGCACAATTTAATGAAAAAAAAAAAATAAATAAATTAAAATGTTTCTCAAAGAGAAACTTATTTCTCCCTTTTGGTAGCAATGAATGTTTTGCTATGAATTACAAATCAGTATGCTTTCAAACCATGAATTTCTTGGGTTTTTTTTATCTTCATACAGCCTTAATTAATTAACATTGGATTGATTTTAAGGGTCTAACTCCTCTTCATCAATGAATGATGTGTCATCAGTGATTTAGTCAACAGCAATTAAAATTTAAAATGAAGAATTTTTTCAGCCTTCATGTAAAATCTGATTTCATATTTTTTTACAATCTTTTTGAAGCTCTCTCTGTATCTTTTCAATTTTTTCTACAATTTAAAAAGTATTCAACATTATCCTAAGCTTTAGATTTTACGCATAAATTTAATGTTATAGCTTCTCAGAAATTATCTTTTCTCTTTATTCATGATTTAATCTGTTCTTTCCAAATATTTATGATTATAATATAAAAATCTGAGACAAAATGTTGTGAAGCATCTGAGCAAAGGCAAGGAGAGAGGCAAACGATTAAAGTGTCATCCTAGTTCAGTGTTGTTTTTTTTTTGTTTTTTCAGAGTTTGATATGTTTTGTTGGTACTACTTCACTTCACCCCCAAGCAAAGTGATAAAGCCACTAAGATGCAAGGTGCTACTGAAAGTGAAAGAACCCAAGAAAAATATTATTTAGGAGAGTTGACAATAAAAGAACAGGATTCAATGAGATACAAGATGATTAACATCGCATTTAAATTTTTGAATTTCATTGTTGACAGGAAAGCAAGAAGTACAAGAAAAGAAACCATTAACATAGACCTTATGGTTACAACTAACAATTTCAATAGTAAAATTATGAGACCTAGCTACCAATCTTCTACTACGAGTAAATTCAGGAAGAGGTAGCAAAGAGGAATAATTGCTATGAAAATATTTAGAGAAAAGGCACAGAGAAGTTAAGGTGACTGGAGCTAAAATGCCATGTCAGTACCAATAACCTTGCAGATTCCTTTAATTTTGTCAGGAATCCCTAGATACATTGCAGAAGCACCAGACCAGATATGATGGCAATGTCCAATGCACTGATGAATTGTAGACTTTTAAAGGTGTAAGATAGATTCTAAATAGAAAAATTATCTAGAATGATACAGCAGACCCAGCAATTTTAAATTGGTTTTCATTATTCTACTTCATATCAGTGGAAAACATTAGACTTAGAAGGTACAGTGAGTTACTTATTGGGAGGTTAACATCAGCCATGCTGATGGAAGGCAAAAAAAATAAAGTTCTCTAAAAAGAAAAACAGTTTCATTTTGAAGGCATTAAAATTAACAGGCTAATTTTTGTCTTCGTTAAAAACAGATTGAAGGTCATTCCTGAGATCAGCTGCCAATTTGACCTCAATGAACTGATCAGACTTACCATTGAGACAGGAGTAAATAATTGCGCTATCAGCATAGATACCAAGTTGAGAACCGATCACATCGAGAAGGTTTTTAATGAAAATTGGGATAAAAAAATACATAGAAAAAAAATATTATTTTCCTTGTTATCTTGTTTGAGCCAAAAGATCTGATGCATCAGTGTTAATACAGATATGAATTATTTTGACTTTATTTGGATATAAAATAAATTTCCATATCTGCTTATTCATGGTTTTATTCTGATTGTTAATAAGATGTTATTTTATGTAAAACTAGACAAATGGGGGCAAATCCAAAACATGTTGTGATAGTTAACAATAAAAGAGAAAATGGGATTTTGATACCTTTTACCAACTGTCAACAGTTGTAATTATTGTTTATATTAAGCTTAGAAAAAGAAAAATTATTCCATTGTAGTAACAGAAAATACTGTACAGAATTCATACCCTGACAATATAAAAAGCCATCATGACTGATGGCATGTTTACCTAATTCTTACCCTCTTACCTCAGCAAATGTACTTTTTTAATAAAATACATATAATAAGTGAGATGTCTACATCAGCATGGACATGAATTGTGCTGTCTCTGTGCACCTGATTATTATCAAGTCTTGTGCAATATTGCCTCAACCATTTTTCTAAGAGAAATATTGGTGCTTGTGTACTTTCTTTCTTTCACTGCCTTGGCTGGCTGATGACTTAAAGAATCTAGTACATTGTCATCAAGGCTATCAATAGACATGTACTGGCTGACTATTGTCCACAAGAAGCACGCATCCTCTCTTTGCCTCATCTTATGCAGTAATGGTAACAATTATGTTATCTCTTGTCTGTCCAGGACACATTAATTTTGTTTGTGCCTGCAAAATATCTTCTGCAAGCAAATTCCTCTATTTCTGTGAAGCTGAATTGCTTTGATATGCCATTCATCTTTACATCATAAATGACAAAGCTGCCACAACTGTAACTGTTTTTAGTAGGCTTTTTAGTGATAATTTGCTAGAAATATACTCTGTCTAAATAATTAGCTCTTTGATGTTCTGCTTAGCTGCTATCAGGTCAAAGACAAAGATCATCTGAATCATATGCAAGATTCTGACTTGTAGTACTTAGTCAACTGGTGGAAAAGTTCCTCTAGTACATGTACAGACTACAAACTTGCTTCACCTTATTGGTTTTGAATACCAGCAAAGCAGCTTTTCTTTTCTCTCTTTTTTTTTTATTTTAAATTATTTTTATTTATTTCAATTTACACTATTTACATTTTTTAGACTGTTGTCCTCATCAAAATGTTTTGGCCATTGTACACAGGTATTGTCTCCAAGGACACATGGCCCAGTGGAGACAATACCAGTGACTGTCAAGTCAGAGTTGTAAGGTCGATACCTGGCCACAGCAGAGATGAACAAAATCTTGGAGAATTGATGAGTTACTAAAGGGAAATAACTGAAACTGAGATATCTGGAAGAGGCATGACACGTAGAACTAGAACAATCTACCCCGCCGGATAAAATAAAGGGTCTGATTCAAAATTCCAATCATCTGAAGAAGGCTGGAGTGTACAATGGCCAAAACATTGTGAATATGACAACAAAGATGAGGACAACAGTCCGAACAAAGTAAATAGTATAAATAGTTACAATACATCATCTCAGAAATATAGACAGTTATTTATTTCATTTTTAATCATTTTACCCCTTAGCAAAGCAGTAAAAGACATGAGGATGCAAGGAGTTTCTTAGTGTAAAAGAAACAATAAAAGAAAGGCATTCAAAAAGACAGATAACAAATAACATTTTGTTTAAATTTTTGAAGATTGTAGTTGACAAGTAAGCATGAAAGCAGAAGAGATTTCCACATGTGAGAATTGCAAGAAAGCATTAGCATAGAACTTATAATTACAGTTAGCAATTTCAAATGTGAAATAATGAGACCTAGCTGCCAATCTAGTACTACGCTTAAATTCTTGAAATTGAGGTAGCAGAGAGGAATAATTACTATGAAAATATTTATAGAAAAGACATAGACAAGTTACATTACAGCAGTGTGAAAGTGACTGAAGCCAAGATGCCATACCAGGACCAATAACATTGCACATTCTCTAAATTTTGTCAAGAATCTCAAGATACACAGTATTGCGCTTAAATTTGTGAAGTCAATGTACCAAAGAGGAAAGCTCATTGGGATAATTACCATGAAAATATTTCTAGAAAAGGTACAGGCAAACAACAATGAAAAAGTGACTGATTCTGCTTTGGATTTTATCAAATATCTCTAGATATATAATAGAATCAACAGACCAGATGTGGCAGCAATATTTGATAACAGGACAAATGGTAGACTTAAAAAATGTGCAAGATAGATTCTGATATGAAAAATTGTCTTGCTATAATGAATTATTT